AAGAAGAAGAAGAAGAAGAAGAAGAAGAAGAAGAAGAAGAAGAAGAAGAAGAAGAAGAAGAAGAAGAAGAAGAAGAAGAAGAAGAAGAAGAAGAAGAAGAAGAAGAAGAAGAAGAAGAAGAAGAAGAAGAAGAAGAAGAAGAAGAAGAAGAAGAAGAAGAAGCAGCAGCAGCAGCAGCAGCAGCAGCATAAAAGACAACTTGGACCCAGAAACGCAGAGCGAAAGACATCAGTTGTTATCCTTAGATCTGTCTCCAGGTCAGTAAGACCAAGATTGTGTTATACTACCATAATATTTAGCTAGAGCTACTGAAAAGTTTTTAACTATTTTTTTTCCCCACACTTCAAAAGTCGAAGCTGAATTTGGACTGAAGAGCACAACGTCATAACTAGAGCTCAAGAAGGGCCTCGGATACTCACCTTATCTGTCCTGCAGTTGTTTAAACCCAAACTGTTTGCAACTGCAACTTTTCCATCCAGCACCTGTTGTTCTCGCCGGAGCTGTTCTTTCATTTGCCGAGCCTCCTGAATCGCCTTGGTAACAGCATCATGATCATTTAAGTAACCTGATGATGTGATGGAGGAGAGGATATCTGGGAAGAAGACAGAAGGCAAAAGAGGGCATAAACAGAAATACGATTATCGTCAAAACCTTCAAATGTTTTCTCTACACAGGGGTCTTCAATCTTGGCCCTTTTACGACTTGTGGACTTCAACTCCCAGAATTCCTCAGCCAGGCACATGTGCCTGGCTGAGGAATTCTGGGAGTTGAAGTCCACAAGTCGTAAAAGGGCCAGGTTTGAAGACCCCTGCTCTAGCAGCATATGCGTGCCTTGAAAATTACGAGAGGTCAATTTCCTTGCTTAATTTATTTTAACACAAAACCAAAGAGGGACTGAAAACCAAAGAGGGAAGCGAATGATTGATTGGTACAACAAGGATGGAATTATCGACTGCGGTGTTTCTCAACCTTGACAACTTTGAGAGGTGTGGACTTCAACTCCCAGAATTCTGGCCATGCTGGCTGGGGAATTCTGGGAATTGAAGTCCACAACATCTCATACTTGGGAGGAAGCCCCATTGAACTTGCCAGCAGAAATTTGGGTGGTTGGTACTCTCTGGAAACTCTTTCAAGTTTGAGAAATGGATGAAGAGAGAAACAATGGACAAAGAGAGCTAGAAAATGGCTCATTTTTTTCTCTCTCCCTTGCCCTCAAATAGGCAGGTAATCTTCGACTTACGACTCCAGTCGAGTCCCAGATTTCTGCTGCTAAGCGAGACACTTGTTAACAAAAATTTTGCCCCATTTTCTGACTTTTCTGGCAAGTGAATCAGTGCAGTTGTTAAGCTAGTAACATGGTTATTAAGTAAATCTGGCTTCCCCACTGATTTTGCTTATTAGGTCTCAAAAGGTAACCTGACCCCGGGACACTGCGACCGTCATAAATATGAGTCAGTTTGCCAAGCATCTGAATGTTGAACGCATGACCACGGGAATGCTGCAGTGGTCGTAAGTGTGAAAAATGGACATAATCTCACTTTTTTCCGAGCCATTGTAACTTGAACGGTCACTAAAGGAATTGCTGTAACTCGAGAATTATCTGTACTTTTATGCATTACAACAACAACAACAACAACAACAACAACAACAATAATAATAACCAATTATTCCTGAAGGTTATGGGTGTGCAAAATGTTCTGTCACACAATGTTTTGATCCCGAAATGGACTCTTCTGCATTTTTGGAAGAGATCCACATTAGGCTTGTTTTGAAGATAGATCACTTCCAGAATGTTTGAGTTAGCTTGAATCAGAATACTCTGTGGCAGAACATTTTCACAGCTGGCCTGAAATCCATATGCCATATTGAATTTCTCTAATTTTGGCAATAAGCCGTTAAAAGAGCCGTGGTGGTGCAGTGGTTGGAATGCAGTATTGCAGGTTAATTCTGCCGACTGCCAGGAGTTCGATCCTGACCGGTTCAAGGTTGACTCAGCCTTCCATCCTTCCGAGGTCAGTAAAATGAGGATCCAGATTGTTGGGAACAAATAGGTTGACCTTTGTAAACCACTTAGAGAGGGCTCTAAAGCACTGTGAAGCGGTCTATAAGTCCAAGTGCTATTGCTGTTATCCCTACTCTACGTGCAACTAGATAAGCTGCTCAGCGGCTTAATTGTGGAAGGGTCCCAGTGACTTAAAGATTAACATTTTTTATTTCAGAGTAGACTTTCATGAACAAAAGTCTCACTTCAGCAGGTGTGCTTAATGTTAATTCAGTTGGTATTTTGTATCAGTGTAGAGCAAAGGAATGCAAAGAAAATGAAGATTGTTAAAAGCAGTGAAGGCAAAGATGAAATGCCAAAAATAAAAATAAAAAATAAATCCCCTAATCCCAAAATCATGATTTTATGGAAGAAAATAACTGAACTGGGATTTAAATGAAGAAGTGCATGTAGGAATGGGTATGAAATAGATTTCCTTCTCATTTTGATGCTGGTTTAGACTTTCAGATATGTATCCCAGTCATAAGTCATTTACATGCCAAAATCTACAATTTGCTGGCTCCCAAAAAGTGCATTTTAAAAAACTGTAAAAGGAAACCATCTTTAGCTGTGTTTGTCTGCCTATGGCTGGATTCAGAAAAAAGGGCTCAGCTGGAGTATAATTTGTTTATGATTTAGGAAATTGTGCAAATTCACTTGTGATTGATTGAACAAGCCACACTGAAACCATCATTTAGCAAGCATTCCTTGTCTAGTTTCCCCTAACGCCATAGGACTTTGTGCACACTGAAAGTTCCAAAAACCCAAATAACTTCTGCATTTTAGAAAACAAGCCTTGTTCATCACTTCATATCACAGAAGGATTTGCTTGGCTGTTTTTCCAAACTTTATGCTGGATTAAATGACCTGAATCCCACTTATCCCTACCTACCTACCTACCTACCTACCTACCTACCTACCTACCTACCTATCTATCTATCTATCTATCTATCTATCTATCTATCTATCTATCTATCATTTATCTCTCTCTCTCTCTCTCTCTCTCTCTCTCTCTGCCCCATTTTATAATTACCTACTTCCTAGGGCTGAGAGAGAGTGACTGGCACAAAATCACCCAGCTAGCTTCATGCCTAACACAGGAACAAAACTCATGATCTCTCAGTTTCTATCTTGCTTAACCACTATACCAGGGGTAGGCAACCTTGGCTCTTTTATGACTGGTGGACTTCAACTCCCAGAATTCCTGAGCCAGCCATGCTGAGGGGAAAGGGAGAGGTTTCCAAGCTGAGCCATGCTGGCTCAGGAATTCTGGGAGTTGAAGTCCACCAGTCATAAAAGAGCCAAGGTTGCCTACCCCTGGACTAGATGAATGATCAGACTATGCCACTGAATGTCATGCTCGGATAAATTAATCCACACACGTGTACAAACACAGTGAAAAAGCAGTCCATGCACCATACTAACTGTGCTTCAGCCAGAGAGTTTAAAGTCGATTCTCACTCTGCTAAGGCTTGGTATAATGTTCATTTCTTGATGCAATTCGCACTTGTACACTCGCACCCTTTTCTCTCTCTCCCCCCCTCTCTCTCTCTCACACACACACGTACCCCCACATGCTGAGTTATAGCTTTCACCAGAACTGAAACACTTCACTTTCCACATGTTACAGGCTTTAATTCAAATGCTCTTTTGTTTCAAATCTATCCCTTGGGGGTTCATCCCCTTGACTATATCAGTAGATACGAGCATGTGTGCAAGACGGCTGGGGATTAAAATTTCATACTCCAGGATCTGCTTATGTGCAACGTGCGTTGGAAGTTAAGATTGGCCATCACAATCTTCCTTTTTTATATATATATCCTTTCAAACCTAGAGCTTCTTCTTCCTTTCTTTTCCTTTTTTTTTTCTTTTTAACCCCCCCCCCCCCCCCCGTTTTATAAAGCCCCGAAAACTGTAATATGAAATTGACCGGAAAAGAGGCTTCTGTTTGTGACATGAGGCTAAATCTAACCAGATCCATTGGTGAATTGTAACAGATGGTGGGGCTGCAAGACAGAAGGCTGTCTCTAATCATAGGGAAAATGACCGGCTTGCCTCAACATGTTTTATAGATTCCAGCAAACTTTACGCCCTAATCCATTTTTAGAACAAAAAACATCTGGGCTATAAATCCTCTAATCTGCCAAAACATGCTATTAAATCCCATGATTTGTTGAAAAACAGCAAGATTAAAGAAAGGAAATATAAAATGGCTAACTGCCGTGTTAGGGAAGTGTTATTAATACTCTTTTCTTTTGTCTCAATTATGAATGTTGTGTTCCTAAAGAGCCTTGTCTAATCATGTCAGATTACACATCCTCGGTTGTATGGCTCGGGCCTTCTATCTGATCCGCCGCTTGCCAAAGAATGCGCAACACGGACTCCTTGCACACCGCTTTGAAACCTTGCGGGGCGGGTGGGGGGGAAGAGGAACTGGTGTCAGATTGGTTCAGACTAACCCTGCTAAGAATCTTTGGATTGCTGCCACGGTGTGGGCATGGGGTTTTGTTTTGTTTTTTTTGCTTTTTTTTTAATCTCCCCCTAAAACGCTTTTTTAAAAACCGTTTAGGAAGAAACAGAGCTGGCAGTTCTAGCTTGCTTTGGAAATTGAAACCAAGGATTTGGAGAACTTTCCAATCACTGCTGGAAAAGGAAGCCATTACAGATCTTTTATGCATTACGAAGAACGAGGTGTAGGATCATGGTTTGGCCTGGGATCTGCAAGATAAAGCGGGCAATGTTGCTCTGTTTGCAGGCATCCTTATTTTGACAAAGACGAGCAAAATTAAATATTTGGGTTGCAATGCCCTCGTTTAGCCTATTTCCTAAGAAGCCTAGCTTTCTGTTCTTATGTACATTAGACCTAGACCAGTGGTGGCGAACCTATGGCACGTGTGCCAGAGGTGGCACTCGGAGCCCTCTCTGTGGGCACACGTGCCATTACCCCAGCCTCGCCTGCCCCCACGACCCCCTCCTCACCAGCAGCCCCCCTGGAGGAGAGTCACCCCCGAGCATGGCCCACACGGAACCGCGCAGCCAAGGACATGACAGCCAGGCAGCATAGACAAGACTCTGCCCTCATGCCCCATCCTGCACAGTTGATTGTGTAGGGCGCGGGCAGAGGGCGTGGCCGCCACGGCGCTACTGGGCTGCCTGGGCGATCTGCGGCGGGCTCTGGAGGCAGTGAGTGGCCCTGCGGGCAGGCGAGGTGGGGGACGGGGTAGGGGTGGGGCAGGGGGCGGGGCCAGTTTTTGGGCACTCAGTCTCTAAAAGGTTCGCCATCACTGACCTAGACCCTGGATGAGCAGATTAATACAGGTCTGCTCCCTTCATTAATCTCCAGGGACTGTACAAGCTCTGGAGTGCATGAAAAAGTGTCCTTATTTTATTTATTTATTGTGTATTAGATTTTTACCCTGCCTTTATTAGTAGCTCACGGTGGCAAATGTACATAATACTCCTTCCTCCTATTTTCCTCATAACAACAATCCTGTGAAGTGGGCCAGGCTGAGAGAAAGTCATCCAGCTGGCGTTCATGCTTAAGCTGGAACTAGAACACACTGTCTCCTGGTGATTGGCCCAAAATCACCCACCCAAACCCATCTTCTAATTGATAAGTTGTCCACCCAAGTTCAATTTAATAACAGTTCAGGGAGAGAAAGGCTATACCAGGGGTAGGCAACCTTGGCTCTTTTATGACTTGTGGACTTCGACTCCCAGAATCCCTGAGCCAGCCATGCTGAGGGGAAAGGGAGAGGTTTCCATGCTGAGCCATGTTGGCTCAGGAATTCTGGGAGTTGAAGTCCACAAGTCATAAAAGAGCCAAGGTTGCCTACCCCTGGGCTATACAGATAAACCTGGTCAGTTTTGTCATCAGGACCAAACAGCCTAGTTGCATTCACAGAATGCTTTAACCTCGTGATTGCAGTAACCTTTTTCTACATGGATAGAAAACCATACCCACAGAGAAAGAGAAATAGAGAGAGAGACACACACACACAACTAACCACTGTTTTAACCAAACTTTGTATGACATTCAAACTCATCCGTTGGTCTTTGGCTTGTTATGTGTGTCATGCAAAAACAGCTACCGTGATGCTCTTTGAATGCTTGCTTCTAGATTGGCTGTTTCTAGCCTAAGCAGATGTCTCCATTCAATGCCTACAAGTAGCCAGGATCGGTCAAGAGCAGCAGGAAGGCAAGAATCAGCTTTCTATCATCAGCTACTGACTCTAATCCAGGGGGTCTTCAAACGTGGCCCTTTTATGACTTGTGGACTTCAGCTCCCAGAATTCCTCAGCCAGCGTGCCTGGCTGAGGAATTCTGGGAGTTGAAGTCCACAAGTCATAAAAGGGCCCAGTTTGAAGACCCCTGCTCTAATCCTAAAGTAGCTACCAGTAAGGAGGAAGTGCCAAGAGGGAGGGAGAGGAAGTGGGCAGGCTCCAGTATCCTAGACAACATGTACCATGATCCAGTCTATAACCCCCCAAAAGCCCTTTTCTGTATCTGTCTTATAAAGATATGTGGTGATGAAGTTTGTGTCATTAACAATAGCTTAAGTATGTTATCTTTTGGTCCACAGTTTCCCATGGTTTATTAATGGTCGAACACATTAATTCTCCTTACAAGAGTGACCTTTACAACTCCAGTCATCCTCACAGCTTTTATCCAATTACATTATCACTCATTACAGGTACAGCCTTTTGAAATCTACATGTCGGTGAAAGGGGAGGACGAAAATGGCAAGGATTCCAAAGGCTGGAGAAAAAAGGCTAGGAAGTCGGAAAGAGAAAAATTACGAAGTTGCTTAGAGTCCTAATGCCCTATCTTAAATGTGGACATCTGGTGGGACCTGGAAAGCAAGCCTTTTCTCTATCCGTCCTCATCTTATGGAACAGATTCCCTGTTGCAGTGTGGTGGGTCCCTATCCTCCTTGCGTTCTGGAAGGTTGTTAAGATTTCCTACTAGCACGGAATGGGGAGGATGTGTGTTTCTGAGAGAACTGTGTTATGCTATCTGGTGGGTTGTAGGTGTGATTTTAATCATGTCCAACGTTCCTTTAAGCCAGTGTTTCTCAACCTTGACAATTTTAAGGCATGTGGACTTCAACTCCCAGAATTCCACAGCCAGCAATGCTGGCTGTGGAATTCTGGGAGTTGAAGTCCACATGCCTTAAAATTGTCAAGGTTGAGAAACACTGCTTTAAGCCTTGAGGCCTTGTTCTGCCATCTGAAACAAGCCAGGTGATTAGAAGCAACGAGATAAAGCTTTCCAAACCTAATACGTTTTTAGTGGTGCACATTTACCGTACTTCTATGTTTCCTTCACTTACTGTCTTATGAAAAAGAAGAAGAGGACTAGATAAAGGAGACTATTTGTAGCTCAGGGTTGAAATGAGGGGTCCTTGGTGCTCTCTGAGCTTGGTTGCTTTCTTGCAGATGTTTCATTACTAATTTGTACTAGTTTGGGTAATGAAACGTCTGCGAGGAAACAACCAAGCTCGGAGAGCACCAAGGACTCTTCATTTAGAATATAATGCAGAATAGTCAATACAAAATAACAGAGTTGGAAGGGACCTTGGAGGTCTTCTAGACCAACCCCCTGCTTAGGCAGGAAACTCTGAATTCCTGAGCCAGCCATGCTGAGGGAAAAGGGAGAGGTTTCCATGTTGAGCCATGCTGGCTCAGGAATTCTGGGAGTTGAAGTCCACGAGTCATAAAAGAGCCAAGGTTGCCTACCCCTGCCCTAGGCCTAGGCCGCTTTATGACTTGTGGACTTCCACTCCCAGAATTCCTGAGCCAGCCATGCTGAGGGGAAAGGGAGAGGTTTCCAAGCTGAGCCATGCTGGCTCAGGAATTCTGGGAGTTGAAGTCCACGAGTCATAGAAGAGCCAAGGTTGCCTACCCCTGACCTACACCTTTCGACTTAACAACAGTTTGTTTAATGATCGCTCCAAGTTACAACAGCAGCAGCAAAAACAGAAACCGTTTTTCACACTTAAAACCGTTGCAGCATCCCCGTGGTCATGTGATCAAAATTCAGACACTGGCCAGCTGACTCATATTTATGACGGTTCCAGTGTCGCTGGGTCACCTTTTGATCTGACAAGCAAAGTCCATGGGGAAGCCAGATTCACTTAACCTCCGTGTTACTAACTTAACAACTGCAGAGGTTCACTTAACAAATGTGGCAAGAAAAGTCATAAAATGGGGGCAAAACTCAGTAAATGTCTCACTTATAGAATAGAATAGAACTTTTGAGCTCAGTTGTGGTTTTAAGTTGAGGACTACCTGTATCACTATAAATCTTAATGCACTGTGGGTTTTTTTTTCAATGCATTGATTTTTGTATAATACCTCTGAAAATTAGACCTTCTATTATCTAGATGGCTTAGGCTATTGAGAAAAGAGAGAGCAACATAATCTATTGATGTTAATTTACAATTTAAGGTGTTAATATTACAAGCATACATTTATTTGGCTTTTTCGTTCGCAGTTAACTATAACATTGACCAAGACCCATTACAACTCACATCCATAATTGTATTGTTGAATAGGTGCGATATTCTAGAGGGGTTGTGAACGGTAAGGGGGAGATCGAAAGGTCTGTAGGAAACAAATGGTTCCCTTAATCAATCTTATCTCTTTGCAAACCCTTGAAAAATGGCTCAAATATTTGTGATCCAATCACAGGATATGGGAGAGAGGGCATAGCACAGTGGTGGCGAACCTATGGCCAGAGACAGCACTCATAGCCTTCTTTGTGGGCACGCGCGCCATGCCCCGGAGATGGCAACCGTCCCTCTTCAACCAGCTGCCCACTAACTCACCGAGGTCCTACGTAGCCTGATGCATCCCAGCACAGCTGGTTTCCCTCCCCCCAGTCCCGTCCCTCCTGGTCTCGCATGCTCTCCTTTTCCCGGGCACGACCCACTGCATCACCTCAGTTGTCAGCCAGCTGTCCAGCTCCAGAGTGCACCAGCTGAGGAGCTGGCAGGCTGTGGCTGCTGACGGACACTGTCGGCCCCCATGCGCTCACTGGCCTCTGTGTGCGGGAGCCAATGGTGTCAGGCAGCAGCTTCCCCGGCCCTTGCCTCACCTTGCCCCATGGAAATGGCACTCCCACCCTGCCTCGCCTTGCCTCACCCCGCAGGATGAGCCTCCTGCCCACCACCCCACCTGCCAGAGAGACCCCCTGGATCTCCCCCAACCCTGCCCGGCCCCCAAAGGCGTCCATCCCCACGAGCAATATCGAGGTGACGCCACTTTGGCCACACCCACCCAGTCTGCCATGACCACCACAGCCATGCCCACCCAGTGGGCCACGCCCAGCTAGCACTTGGCGATACATAAGTGAGTTTTGGGTTGCAGTTTGGGCACTCGGTCTCTAAAAGGTTCGCCACCACTGGCATAGCAGCTTAAGAGGCCCATAGGCTACGAATGGCTGACTTCAAGCATAATAGATCTTCTTACCTATTGTGTTGACTCTGGCTGATGGACTAGCTAACGTTGCCGGCATCGAAGATTTCAACGAGCTGCACCCACTGTTTATTCTCAACGATGGCATGTGAGGAGAAGTAGGTGACGAGGGAGACTTGCTGTCGTTTGTCTTGGGCTTTGCTGAGAGATTCAACGGCTGGGCCACATCGTCCTAAAATGGAAAGAAGAAGACCAAGCCATGAGATGCACTGTACGGTTGCTGATTCGGCCACCACTAATTGGGGCTCCTTGTCAACTTGGATGTCAGACGTAATTTCACTCTCTGTATTCATGAGATTCCTTCATCCCTCTAAAAGAGGCACGGTTTGGGTTGCCCCTTTGCAATCGAAACCTCTGTAAAAATCCACAAAGTTGGGAGAAGGGAAGGAACTTTAATCTGAAAGCAGCTGGAAAGGAGAAGGCCCTTGTCTTTAACATGACATCCTCTACATCAGGGGTAGTCAACCTTGGCTCTTTTATGACTCGTGGACTTCAATTCCCAGAAATCCTGAGCCGGCTTAGCTGGCTCAGGAATTCTGGGAGTTGAAGTCCACAAGTCATAAAAGAGCCAAGGTTGACTACCCCTGCTCTACATGTCTTTGCTCTTTAGACTCTGAGAACCTCTGCATCTTGGATCTTTTTCCCCTACTGTCCTCACCTAACCAGTGAACCTGTCCCTCTGTGTGCTTATAAAGGTAAGGTAAAAGTGTCCTTATGGATTTTACTCAGTGGTGGGATTCAGCCAGTTCGCACCACGTCGGCAGAACCGGTAGCTAATTTTTTGTTGCCCGGGCCCAGAATGGACTTCCGGAAGCGGCATCCACACAGAGAACCAGTTGTTCACATATTTGAGTCCCACCACTGTTTTTACTCCACTAGTCATTGCCGACTATAGCAGGTGGCGCTCATCTCTATTTGATCCAGCGCTGTCCTATAGGGCAGGGGTCCCCAACTCCCAGTCCATAGACTGGTACCGGGCCGCGGCATGCCAGCAACCGGTCTGCACAAACAAGCAAAGCCCCATCCGCGAGATGCAGGCAGCACACAAAACCACGCACTCTCCGGTCCATGGAAAAACCTTTCTCCACAGAACCAGTCCCTGGTGCCCAAAAGGTTGGGCACCTCTGCTATAGGGAGGAGATACATTCCCCCAGTCATGTGACCAGCATGACATCATGGAGCGCTGTTACCTTCCCACCGAAGTGGTACCTATTTATCTGCTCGCGTTTGCATGATTTCAATCTGCTAGGTCGGCAAGTTGCTGGAGCGAGGATGGGAGCTCACTTCATTGCATGGAGCTCAGGTTTTGAACCTAGGCTGCTGGTTTTCCCACCAACCAGCCCAGTGTCATAGCCACCGCCCCACCCCACGGCTTTATCTCCTCACATAAATGTAGTCCTCAGGTTACAACCATAATTGAGCCCCACATTTACGGTCGTAAGTCGTGATAGTTATAAACGGGTCACGATGTGTGAGTAGACCCAATTTTACAACCTATTTTGCCGTGGTTATTCCATGAACCCTGTGGTTGATTCATTTATTTAGCATATGGCAAACGCTGCAATTGAAACGAACACTGTGGTTGTTACATGAATGTGTGGTTGTTAAACAAACCCATTCTTTGCTCTGGGCCAGGGTTGTTGTTTTTTTGGCCAGAATCTAGAAGAAAATGCTGGTTTCCGGAAAAAAAATGTTGTAAACCGTGGCCATGTGATCTTCTGGAAATGGTTATGTCTGTTCTGAGTGGCAAAATGCAGTCACGTGGCTGTGGGAGGAGGGCAGATTTTAGAACTTTGAAAATGGGTTGTAAGTATCTTTTTCTGGGGGAGGGGGTTGTCCATCATAACTCCAAATAGCTGCTAAGTAATTGGTTATAAATCAAGGACTACCTGTACCATATATGAGAGCTTTCTTTTAAGTTAAAGGTCGTTATTTAAGATTTATGATAACCTTTATTGTCATTTGTTTTACTGTGGGCACAACGGCACACATCAAAAATGAAATTTAGTTGCCTGCTCTCAAAGTGAAACACATACATGACACACACCTAAACATACTATATGCAACATATGTATAGACCCACATCCCTACATATACATAACAAATAAATATTAAATACTGTCCATCTTGAATATATAACGGAAGGAGGAAGCTTGAGAGTTCACAAGGTTAATGCTGTATGGAATGAAACTATGGCTGAATCTGGATGTTCTGCTACGGATATTGCGAAGCCCCCTCCCAAAAAGTAACAAGGAAAATAGGTTGTGAAGAGGATGTGTAGTGTCCCAGATAACCTTACAGACTCTGCTCAAGCAGCGCCTCTGTGCTATGTCCTGGATGGAAGAGAGGGAACTGCCAATGATCTTTTCTACTGTCCTCACCACTCTCTGCACCACCTTCCTGTCTGAAGCAGGGATGCTTCCAAACCAGACTGTGATGCTGTATGACAGGATGCTCTTGATCGTCTCCTTGTAGAAACTGGTCAAGACAGGGGAAGGAAGTTGTGCATTTCTCATGCAGCACAGAAATGCAAGTGCTGCTGTGCCCACTTCACCAGTTTCTCACTGTTGAGCGACCAAGCCAGCCTTGTCACCTCCAAGATGCAGCGGTATCACCTGACCCCCACGTGAATTCAAACCCTGCTACTTCTTCTGGCTCCTCTTTAACTGAACTCAATCCCAGCTTCAAACATGGGGCAAGGGCAAGGGAAGCAAAAGATTTGGCCCACCACTGTTTAAAGGTGCCAAGCCACTGCATTTGAGGTGCAGGGAGGCATTTATGATTAGACCACTGCAAAAACGGAGCTAGACCACGGTACCTGTAAAATAGCTGCGTTTGTGAGAGGCAAAAGAGAGAGGAAAAAATAAAATAAAAATAAAACATAAGAATAATATTTAAAAAACAATAAATAAATAAATTCAAAAGAAAAGTAAAAACAAATTAACTCGAAGGACAGACTTGATGGACCACTAGGTCCTTTTTTCTGCCGTCAGTTTTCTATGCTTCTACGAAAAGGGTTTTGGGAAGATGGATGGTTGAGGTACCACTTTGGTAGCAACATCAACTGTTGCTCTTAACCCCTCTTTGCTATTTCAGGAGAGAGATCACAATTAACTACGAGAGTCTTCTGATTGTGGCGGCTTAAAAGACTAACCAATAAACACATACATAAAAGAAGTGTCTACACTAGGCTTTTACAAGGTCCCGGCTTTTGTTTATTTATTTGTTGTGATATAACCTCAGAGCCGACATGCCTGTGTACTTGTCAAAATAACGGAGCATAATGTAAGCCAGCACCAATCTTGATTATTAGGGTGAGAAGGTTCTGAATGCGCATTAAAGTTGGCCTTGCTTATAGAAGCTGAATTTCTGTGTTCTACACAGTTTGCTCTGTTGCATATATCAAAAGCTAATGATCTCATCTGTGAAGAAGATACATCACCAACTATAGGGAGGGGGGGATATAATTACTGCAAAATACATTAGTGTTGCATTGCTAGGATGGGTTTATATTAATTAGGTAGATGCCAGTTCCATTTTTCCCTACAAAAGAAAGCCATCGTTATGAGAGGCTACCATGCTAGTCTTTTATGCTTCATCTAAGTTTGGTTTTAAGAGCATTCCCTGGATATGAGTGCTGAAAACTCATACTCAACTTCATGGCCAAATTTTTAATTTTCCCTCCTGCAGGGCTGAAGGTGCCATCCATTCGATGATGCAGTAGAGCAGGGGTCTTCAAATATGGCCCTTTTATGACTTGTGGACTTCAACTCCCAGAATTCCTCAGCCAGGCACACGTGCCTGGCTGAGGAATTCTGGGAGTTGAAGTCCACAAGTCATAAAAGGGCCAAGTTTGAAGATCCCTGTAGTAGAGGAATAACATCTAAACAGTGGTGGAGCACATGCTTGATCAGCCAAGGATATTTTGTAGGTTGAGATCCACTGATCACCACAATGTGAGACTGCCCTGTCCAATGTCATATGTCTGATCTATTCCCAGGTGTTATTCTATTTGAAAAATAAGATATAATAAAATGTAAAAGTCATTCTAACTTCTGCAATAAGGGAAAAACATTAAGGGAGAAGCAACTAACAAAAATAATTGTAGTAACATTATGGTTTATGCATAGGGTTTGCGGTTTACATTGTAAGATCTCAACATTTGTTTTGCTACTCTGGTTAAACTGTTAGATCCTGTGGGCACCTTGGTGGTCAAACCATGAGCAGGTCCCTTACTCTCAGATTGTCTAAATCCATGGTGGCGAACCTATGGCACAAGTGCCACAGGTGGCACGCAGAGCCCTCTCTGTGGGCATGCGCGCTGTCGCCCCAGTCCTAGGCCTTCAGCTGGGTTTTATAAAACCTTTTCGCTTTAGGCCTCTGCCGCCATGTGCAAAAAAAAAAAAAAGGTTCAATCAATCAATCAATTTCAACTTCTTGCGGGAAAAAAAAGATCTCGGAAAGTTGGAATTGATTGATTGAACTTTTTAGTCCCACCCAGTCTGCTGTTATCACCAAAACCACGCCCACCCAATTGGCCACGCCCACCCGGCACCCGACGATACATAAGTGGGTTTTGGGTTGCAGTTTGGGCACTTGGTCTCTAAAAGGTTTGCCATCGCTGGTCTAAATGCTTCAGAGACACTCAAGTTTTGTTTTAATGTTTCTTTCAAAATTTATTTTTTCTCTTTGTTGCTCCTTGTACTGTTCCATTACTAACACTTTCATCCATCCATCCATCCATCCATCCATCCATCCATCCATCCATCCATCCATCCATCCATCCATCCATCCATCCATCCATCCTTGAAAGTGGAATATTTTAAGTGAGCTGATTGCATCAATGGCTATTTTATTGTTCTAAACCTTTAAAACAGGGGTCTTCAAACTTGGCCCTTTTATGACTTGTGGACTTCAACTCCCAGAATTCCTCAGCCAGGCACGCTGGCTGAGGAATTCTGGGAGTTGAAGTCCACAAGTCATAAAAGGGCCAAGTTTGAAGACCCCAGCTCTAAAAGGTTGGGTTATAAGAAATATAATTTTAAAAAATCTGAGCAGAGACCGGTATAGTACTGTCTCAACATCCATAAGAAAAGACTGACTCAGACAATCATCCCTAGCACTGATGATGTTACCTAATGGGGTAATGAAACATCTGCAAGAAAACAACAA